GAAGAGATTCAGGCAGAATCGCAGATGGTGCTTGACAGGCTGACAAAGAAAGATTTCCAGGGATGCTTCCAGGCTTGGCAGCGGCGCTGGGATCGTTGTGTTCACACCCAGGGGAACTACTTCGAGGGTGATGGATGAATTTAATACCTGAGTTAAGTGTACGGGTTTTTATACGCGCAGTCTGGAAACCTTTCGATCGCACCTCGTAATGTCAGTAAACTCCAGTATTCTGTGTTGTGACGGTCAGGAGACGTCCTCCGAGACGCCAGAAATTACCTATCGCCACAATCCTCTGGTTGGAAGTCTATCCTAAATATGAAGGTTACACAACACGTCGAAACGTTGGTAACCACCTACAAGACAAGGTGACGCTAAAAACTCAGAATACCACAATCGACACGTTTAAACACGTTTTTTTTACATTCTTCAGTAAACAAGTAGTACACAGAAGGACGACTGGAAAACAAGTTGTAGCAATTAAAGTGTTTTCTTAACTATAATTACGTATTTCATGGACATACGAGCAGGTGATCGATTTACATTTAGAATTCGTTCCTGAAATGACGACGTACAGAATATACCATTTAAGACGAAATTCCGACTACATCGTACGGTACAAAAATAGATTCAGAAGCAAATCCCGCGTTAATACGTCATCCTTGCTGCTAGGCCGTTGCTCACACCAGTTGATCAAAATTATTCAGGCGCGAACACGACGTATTCACGAGCAGAACGTGTGTTCACTATCGATCATTACTTCGAATCGAAATAGTTTGCTGCTGTCCGTGAAGTATTCGACAATGCGAATCACGACAAGGAAGTACAGAATGTAACAATACACTGACCTGCTACAAATTTTCGGATGGAAGATTGTCTTCCAGATGGAGGTGGATATTTCAGAATTCGCTGCTAAGTTCTTCCTAACGAATAAATACTAAAAGTAATTCATTTCTCTTGTTATATTGATGTCAACAAAGTTTATAAACACTGCTGCAGTTATGACTGAATTTTAGGTAGACCATTCTGTATATCGACACGAGGTAAATGGGAAATCACTTCGACCTCGAGATCTAGTATTTTCCGAAACGATACGCCATGTCGGTCGCTTGGGGGGGGAGGTCGTATAGCTCCTACTCATTCTTGACCTCGGCACTAGATGGGGGTGAGTGGTCAGCATCACGCCCCGGCCGGCTTTACCCCC